CCTCCTGGTGGGACTATGGGCGACTCGTCAATAGGCGTCCGGGTCTCGTAGCCTGGTACGCCCGCAGATGCAGCTCTGCGAGAGGTTGGTGCTCGGATAGGCGACTGTGTGTCGGGGCTGTACCGCCGTTCTAACGTGTTTGCAATGTAACTGTAACGAGGTCAGTATCGAACCGTACTACAATGTAAACTGACGTACTTGGAAGTAGCCCTCTGTGCGACCAGCCCAGGAGAAGCTGGCGCCCGCTGGATCGCATCGGAAGTGCTGATATGGAGCGAGTCGATGTTGCTCGGAGCAGGACTATGGTCATTGTTCCGATTCCTAAACGATGACAGACTAAACTTGGAAGCCAACTTGTCGCGCGATGCTGACCGACCGGGCCCGTTTCTGGGCGGTGGAGGAGGGAATAGCGGATTCGATGTTATGCTCGTCGCGCTAGAAGGTATGACCATAGATCCGGGTCGGCTGTGATACCCAGAGATTGGTCGCGCCGAGGAAGGGGTGCTACTCGGTGGTGGGGGAGGTGGGGGATGGGGAAACGCGCCGGCCGACATCTGAGGCGACGAGGTATTGCTATGGCTGCTCAGGGACTGCGATACGTTCGGATTCTGGCCAGGGGAGTACGGAGGCGGTGGGGAGGGCATCGACGCTGTTGCCATTAGCATCACATCTCATTATGCGCGGGAGATTTCCACGAAGGGTTTGCGCAATTGACACAAGGCTTCGACACACAGGCATTCATGCTTTGCGAAGACGAAAAGAAAGTCTATCCACTCTACTACGTATGGTATGAGATGAGGAAGAAGGAGGAAGTGATATATACCTTCCATGCCCGTCACATCCTGGAGCCTCGTAGGGACCGACGTCTGGCTATGCTGGACATGCTGCCCGCTGACGTTCCCACCCCGCGTCCATTGCTGGGGATTGTATGGCACGGCTGAACCCGAGCCCCTCATGGCCATGGGAGAAGCAGCGGCGCTGGGGGAAGGCGCATACGTCGAGGGCGTTGGGGAAGGCGTGAAGGGCAGGCTCAGAGATGAGGAAGTGCCCGGCGTGGACGAGGAGCCATGCAGGTACGCGTGGGGGGAGTGATGGGGCGGGGCGAGGGTGGTGTTGAGGAGGGGAGGTTGCACAGCGAAGCGCCGGGGAGATATCTGCGGAGCCTGGAGGTGGGCGGGATGCGGTGAGGGCGGTGGTGGAGGCAGTCGGGGAGACGGCGGCGCGGGACTGTAGGCGTGCTCCATGGCTGCCACTATCAACCTCTGATGTCTCCAAATCAATTAGGCTGGTCAATTAGGGCTGGCGGCTCCCAAGTGGTACGGGCGAATCCAGCAGCGGAGACGCGATGGGGCGGCGTTGGTCGCTGCACCACGCTCGACGTTGTCACCTAGCACGCGAACGCAGAGGCCGAGGCGCGCAAGGATGCTGGGTCATGCTGTGTGTCGGTCAACGATGAGGATGGAAGGGAAGGCGGCCAATTCGACGCCGGGCAAGCAGACGTCGATCATGTCGGGCACGCGGCTTGCACGTCTAGACTCGATGCAGCGTCGACGACGGAGGTTTGGCAAGGTAGCGAGGCTTGACTTTTGCTTGTCCAGCGAATGGGCGCCGCCTCATGCATACGCCCACATGCACCTTATGCACCATCCCTGCCCGCGACCAGACGTCGGCGGCTAAGTAAAGAACAGGCACCACACGGTCGCCATCCTCAGGCCATATCTGCGCCCGTCTAGCATCTCTCGGAACAAGCACTATCAATCCCAGGTGTGCTGCAAACCGCCGATGTATTCCGGGCGAAGTTCGGACAGCCTCGTGACACGTTTATCGTCCTGTCCGACATGCGACCGTTGGGGTGTTCGTCTTGGTATCCAAGAAGAAATCCCCACACGGGGCGATATAAATAGTCGCTGTGGGCCCACTCCAACACGCGCAACGGCCCACCCCAACCCGGACCCTAAATCTCTACACCACCATGCACCGCCGTCTCGAAGTGTCTTGGTGCCGAGTTGCTTTTCGCTGGCCGAGGAGGCAACAGGTCCAATTATAACGCAACACAACATTCGTCTCCAATGTCGCATACGTGGACATTGCTACCGATTATACCCGATGATGCACATTCCTTTACGAGTTGGTGGTTGTGTTGCAATCCTATCATAGACTGAGGTGTGAGACAAAAGGCACACAGATGACCGTGGGAGGAAGCCATTGCTTGCATGCTGATGGCAGTGGTACGGTTTTCGGCAATCGTGCATTCCCAGACCCAGGTCTGACAGCGCGTTAGCCCCAGACGCGGTCATGTATAGTGGCGGCACAGTACCACGTTATAGATGACAGCAGGGCGTTCTCCGCCTGCAAACCCGGCTGATGATGCTTTATCATATTAAATCAGCTTGCGCGCCATCAGATGATCAAAAGTGATATTTAATGGCAAATATGTATATGGGGGGGACAACCACACGTGGCAGCAATATGTACCATGCTGCAAGCGCTGTCTACCGAAAATGCCCATGAACGCCTCGCTCAAGTGCTCAACCCACAAAACATGTATGAGCTGGTCCAACAAACTACCGCTCACGTAGCTTAGTCGTCCTTCTTCGGTTCCGGTGCCGGGTCATCCTCGTCGTCCTTTGACTTCTTCTTTTCCTCCTTCTTCTTGCGGTCCTTCTTGAGTGCTTCCTGGACTTTCTCGTCCTTCTCTTCTTGCAGTTCGTCCCACTCGACATCGTACTCGTTGGCAACAGCCTTGATCTCCTTGCGAAGCGCATTTCCATCTTCAATGAGGACTTCCCACTTGCGTAAATCGAAATTGTGTTGCGCGTACAACTTCTGCTGTCGGCGAGAAACGGTGAAGTTCATGGCAGACCGGTAGCTGACTTCGCGGTTGTGGTAGAGGAACCATACGTAACCACCAATAAGGGTAGAGAGACCGACGAGGTACTGTGCAGAATGTCAGATAGACCCAGAATTGAGTGTTTGACCAAACTTACCGTGACGGGTTCCATGACATCCCAGCCCAGCTCTGTCTGGAAGGTGAGGTAGTAAACAACGCACCACCATCCAGCAATGCCCACGAAACCAGCCCTTGCAACGTTCTTTGCCGCAGCCTGCGCCAGGTCGTCGCATTCCTTCTTTACGCTCGCCATCTCACTGATCTTCTTCGACGTCTTGCGCAGACGCATTCGAAGATAATAGGTCCTGTCGTTGAAGCTGGGCACACCCACCCGGATCTCCTCTGGCGCACCTTCAATCTCAATGGCGAATTCCTGCCCTCGAGCAGCATCGCGAATGAAATCGCCAATCTCGGTGGATGAGGACCATCGCACAAATTTACGCTCGCCTTGCTTGTCTGCTGGTGCTTCCTGGCCCTGTCCGGAATAGGACTCAACGCCTCCCTTGCCAGGCCCACCTCGCAGCTGCTCAGCTTGCTCAGGTGTCTTCCGATCTTGGCTGTTGAGCTTCCCTGTTTTCTGGACCTTTCCGTCGATACGGATCTCGTCGACCTGTTCAAAGTCTTCCTCGCCGTCTTTCTCGCTGAGACTCTCGCTTTCGTTACTGACTGGTGTGCTTTCCACTTCCTCCGGCTCGGCGTCGTGCTGCATTGAGTCCTCGGCGCGAAAGTAGACATTCGGCTGACGATCACGACCCTCCTTGTCCTTGATTGTGGGTAGCTCGGCTTGTATCAGGCGTTCGAGGTAGGATATGGGTTGCTGTGGGTGGACGAGGAGTGCTAGCGGTTCCACGTCTTTGCGATCGGTGTTCATATCGCTCGTCGTAAGTGGCAGGATGATCTTAAGCATCCGCGACGGGGTAGTGAGAAGTTTGCCTATGTCTTGTTAGTGATGAAGTCCTCATACAATGAGAGAGGCATACCCTTGGTCATGGCTCCAGCGCTCCTCTGTCGCGCGACAGGTGGCAGGTCGCTTCCTTCCCTGTGCCATGGTGTTCGTATTTGCTTGCCCTTATCTTCCTTCAGTTTCTTTGCGAAGTGGTCCTTCTCTTCCTGTGTGATGTTCTCATTGAGGTCTGCCGCAGGCCGCGCATTGGAGTTGGTGTAGTCTCCATACTTGTCAGTCTCCTTGTCCACACCTCTGGGCTTGGTCGCATAGCATCTGAATTGGGAGGCTGCCCTAAGCTGTATTGATATGCGTGGAGAATTGCGTGTGAATAGTGGTGCGGATCGAGCGGTCGGGAATGTTGAGGCGCGTGGGAGCGAGGCCAGCGCCGACAGTCGGTGCCTCATTATCGGCACAGGGATGATGCAATGGCCGGGGAGATCGGATCGCGGCGTAATACACGGAGACGCGAAGACGTAGTTGTGTTGACACTTCAACAGATCTCAGGAGATACACACGCGACAAGCAGGGTTCCAGCATCCACATCTTGGGCGACGTCATTGCTGGTAATGAGTGGCTTGAAGCTGTGGCTGCGTGGCTGCGTGGCTGGAGGTCCTCATCAACATCGATGTGCTAGCTGCGGTCTTCCCACATATCTCACCTCTCCCTAGACAAAGCAACTCGTACTAGCTGAATACAATTGCAATAATACCAACAGTCACTTCTGTAAGCTATGCGATTGTGGAACTTACCTGCGAAATTGGCATAGCAAGATGTAGATACTTCAAACCGTCGATGTGGATGTGAGTAGCAACCTCGGCGGTAACGGACATAATGCCTACGCACGCCAATCGAACAACGAGTTGAACATCACGTCAGATTTTTCACCGTCAAACTGTAGCTCTTACTGAGAATACGTGAGATATGAGAGCGTTGCGGCTTTACCGGAGATATTTGACTAAACGACTCTTATCCACGACATCTCATGGGTCCGCTAATGCAAATGGCTGACACTCTCAAAGTCCGTCCCACCGAACGTATTCCGAGTCTGCATGTAGGAACATATAAGAGAGACGTTTTCTCGAGAAGTGAACAGTATCATACCTACTCAACAACTTCCACTTCTACCTCAGAACGTCTCGTCTCTACGCAGCCAACTCCATCAAAATGGTCAAGACATTCCAGTTCCAGGACATCCAAGTCCCATCTCCAGGCTTTGGTTGCATGGGTCTCAGTCACGGATTGGGTAGCAACCTCAGCCTTGAACAAGCCGAGCCCGTTCTCCTCAAAGCCATTGAACTCGGTTGCACTTTCTGGGACACTGCCGTCGTGTACCAGGCTGGTGTGAACGAAAAGCTTCTGGGAGACTTCATCCGAAAGCACAACGTCCGTGACAAGGTGTTCAGTAAGTTCTCCTAATTAGAGATCAAGATCTCGTACTGGCAGTATTGCTGATAGCCTATGTCCAGTTGCCTCAAAGTGCGGCGTCGCATGCTTTGATGGCGAGTCAGGTGTAACGAATAGCCCAGCTCATATCAAGAAGTACATCGATGGTACCATTGAGAGGCTGGGATTTACACCCGACCTCTACTACCTCCACCGCATCGACCCCAAAACGCCGCTAGAGGAGTCCATCCCTGCCCTCGACGAATGCCGCAAGGCAGGCAAAACCAAGTACATTGGCCTTTCCGAGTGCTCAGCCAAGACACTCCGAAAAGCGAACTCAAGTACACCACCCCAAACTTATCAATCTCATACCTACTAACCCCAACGCAAGTCGCCAAAATCCACGCCATCCAAGCCGAATACTCCGCCTTCGAAACCCTCCACGAAACCGACGACCTCATCGCCACCGCCGCTGAACTCTCCATCTCCTACATCGCGTACTCACCCCTCGGCCACGGCTGGCTCGTCGACAACTTCGACTACGCGTCGCCCGACGACTTTGCGCCTGACGACTTCCGGCGCACTGTCCCGAAATTCCAAGGCGAGAATTTCTATCGCAATAAAGCGATTGTGGAGGAGATTAAGAAGTTGGCGAAGAAGAAGGGGTGTTCGACGAGTCAGATTGCGCTGGCTTGGGTAAGTGGTCAGGGGATGATGCCGATTCCGGGGACGACGAAGGTGGGGAGGTTGGAGGAGAATTGGGGGAGTAGGGATGTGGAGTTGACGGAGGAGGAGATGGCGGAGATGAGGAGGATTGTTGATCAGGCGAAGCCGGAGGGGGAGAGGTATGGAGAGGCGCATCGGGCTTGGGTTGGACATTGAGGATCGAACAAGATGACGGTGTGAGCTTCTTCTACTCAGAGATTGCCAGGTCGCCGTTCTAGCTTTCTTCGTCAAAATAGAGGCAGTGCAAGCTGCGCTGAGGGTATATACGAACGTCCAATCCAACCTTACGCAACGCCATCTCAAGGATCGATTCCACTGTCCAACATCCGAAGTACTGGTAGAAATAACCACACCAAAACCCCAAACAACCTTCACTACCGGCTCCGATACGTGTCCAAAAACTTCAACCGTTCCACAATCCCACCCCACCCATCCAACGTATGTTTCTTCTCCAACAATGCCAACTGATACCCATCACCACCCTCAACAGCCTCGTCATCTTCTTTACTCCATATACCCCTTTCCATTGGTAAAGGCTTCCCAACCTTCCACGCATCGAGTACTTTTTCTGCCAAGTCAGGACGTAGACCTGTGCGTTTGAGTGCTCGGCTGATGAATTCGTTGGACCATTTTTGTTCGTTCAGCTCGGTGTAGAAATCGATGATTTCATCGCCTGTGAGGGGTGGGTCGGGGTCTTCTTCGCCTGTGGACGAGGTGGAAGGGGCTGGCGATGAGGATATGAGGAGGGGTTGAGGGGGATGCTGTGAGTAGAGGGTCTGGTCTGGGTCTTCTTCTTCTCCTTCTTCTTGGAGGGAGCGGCGGAACTCTTCCATGGATTGGGTTGTTGATGCGTCAGATGCTGGTTGTTCGGGTGGTGAGGAGAACCGCTGCGGTTGTCGAGGAGCCATGTTGGGGACGAAGTCTTGTGGTCTTGAGAATGTGTCTTGTGTCGGCGATGATAGGATGGCTTGAGTGTCGAAATTAGAAACCTTTTGTCGAGTGGCACGCGGTGTAGGTGTATTTGAGGGAAGATCATCGCCAGATACCAAGTCTTGGTCCGGCGGTGGTGAGAGTGGGTGTAGCTCGTCGATATCAGGAAACTCATTTGACTCTATGCTTCCCACCTCTTCTTCCTTTAGATCTTCGTCTATATTGACGATGGTAGCATCTTCATCCATTGCATCGAGTTCTTGAGACCGGATTCGCTCTTGCATCAGCTCCTCGGCATCTTCTGATGTCGAAGTAGTCTGGGAACTCGCAGCAGAAGATATCTCCACAGGCTGGTTCTGCGTGCCCTCGACTTTGATCGGTTGCATTGGCTCTTCCTGGGTAGGCGTCGCGCTTCCGCTCTTCCGACGTTTGGTCGGAGGAGCTAATTCTTCCTCATCTTCCTGCTTCACAAGGTTGTCTTCCCGTAATCGCTTAGTGTACCTAGCAAGCTGTTCATCATAAAAGTTCGGAGATTCTTGGCGAGCGGTAGATGATGACGGCATCTTAGGCTCTGATGCAATTTTGGGTGGGTTTCGGTTTTGCAGTAGTTCCTCAGAGTGCGCTCCCTCAGAGGCTGACCGCTGTACCGGCTCCACTCTATTTCGTGTTGTTGGAGGAGGTTGTGGCAGTGTTTCGTCTGGTTTCTCGATCTCTGCTGGATGCTGACTGAGCGCCTGACTCCGCCTTGCAATTTCGGCATCGTGCTTTTCTTCCATCTTCTTCCTGATCTTCTGTCTTTTCGACACCGGGTCGCGCAACCACTGTGGGCGGACTACCTTCTCGTAATACTGTCGCCACTGCTCGGCAGTTTGGTTGCCCTGATTCTCAGCCCACCCATCCCAGGCTGAAATATAGTCGTCCTGTCCCTCCACGCCATCGATAATCTCTACAAAAGCATAGCACTCTAGCCAGTCGTCTGTGCTGAACAAAACTTCCAACTCTTCCACACTATAGTCGCTGTTTGCTTGTGCTTTGCCATTGTCATCGAGGGTTGTCGCACTCGGAGCCTGTTCTATTTTAGGTGTTTGCTGTTCTGTAGGCTTGAAGGGGGCTGGAACTGGGGGCATACGTTCGTTCGACTGGTCGGAAGGAGGAGACGGAGGAGCGTTGTCAGGTATCGTGAAAGCCGAGAGCGGACGTTTGCTAAGTGTCTTGACCCATCGGTCGCGCCATGACTGCCATGTATGCCGTGGATACTGTCGTTCGTTAGCGACCACTCCCACACGCGTTTTCTTTGTTGGCGCAAACCTTGGCTTCGAGCTGCTTGTATAGCTCGTTCCCACTGATGGAAGCGCCTTTTGATTGGGCGTCGCGCACCCATTTGTAGAGTATCCTGTCTTCCTCTGCTGTGTACGATGTCCTTCCGCTCTTCGTGGGTTGGTGAATGGAACCAGCCTCTCGCGCCTCACCTAGCGGCGGTCCGGCTGTATAGTCTTCAGGATCTTGGAGTTCTCCCTCCTTGATGGACTTTTCTATAAATTCATACGATGTTGAACCGGGAGGACAGTCTCTCCGCGCGTGGTCGACGATGAGGTAGTCCGCCTTCTTCTCTAACGCAACGATCTCTCCGCCGTTGGCTTTGATGTCGTCCAGCAGCCGTTTCCGTGACGCTACGCGCTGCGCAACCCAGAACTTCTTGCCGGCGAATAATTGGCCGCCTGATGCGAAATCGAAATCCTCCGCGACGTCGGTGTATACGGTCGGCCCAGCCATGGTGGGGTGGTGTTGTCGGGTTATGGTGGTGGTGAATGACGCGTTGGCTCAGGCGCGACGCGTGCTCACATGGGACGCATGATTCACGCGGGGTCGCTTAGCCTCCGCGCGGCTGCTCTATCCGACGCTTGCGCTGTCACCTCTGTGAACTGACATACAGAGCGCGAAGTGATGCCATAGAGCTTCGATCCGCGTCTTCATTCTGTCCCGCCATGCCTAGTGTCGCAGTCTGCAGGTCTCTTTCACCATGACGGTCGCCCGCACCATCATTATCTTCACCATCACAGTGTCGCTGGTGACTTTTGTAGCTTTCTTCGGACGACTGCCGGCTTTTAGGTATCTACGCTCCTCCTCCTCGCATCTTCCATTCTAACATTCCCAGAAACACGCCCATAGGCTTCCTCAACCGCCTCTTCCTCATCCACATCCCTTCCGCATTCCGAAAGCTCGACCTCGCTCTCACCAATGGCCGCATCACCAACGGCGGCGCCCGCCTGGGCAACTACCTCATGCACGACAAGCACCCGCTGGTCGTCATCTTCTTCCTCGGCCTCGTAACCGCATGCGCGACGCTGTTCCTGCCCACCGTTTGGCACCTCATCCGACCGCATCACAAGCTCCTAGCCTTCGTTCTGCTGCCGCAACCGTACATCTTCCTATATCTCAGCGCGAAAAGCAACAGCCAGACATACATCACCACGCTCAATCATGCCGAGCAGATGCGACACTACCCGTACGACAGGGTGCTGTACTATCCAGGCACGCCATGCCGGACATGCAAGTTCCTGAAGCCGGCGCGGAGTAAACATTGCAGTATTTGCAAGACCTGCGTGTCGAGGATGGACCATCATTGCATATGGGTCAACAATTGCCTAGGGCGGGGTAACTACAAGTGGTTCCTAGCCCTGTTGCTATCCACCGGCATACTGATCGCGTACGGCGCATACCTGGCTTACTACAGCCTTTCGCCTTTGGTCCACAGACATTATCTGAAGTACGAAGGATGGTACAGATACAGCCCTAAACAAGGCGTCAACACAAAGAGCTGGTTCGGATACTTTGACAAGAAGACTCACTACTTCCTCATCTACACGACCATCTACCTCGACATGGGTGGCGTGCGCGGGTCTGGGGTCGGGCTGCTAGCTCTGCTCACCTGGCCGCTTCCATTGGGTCTGCTCGCATACCACGTCTACCTGATCTGGGCCGGCATGACTACGAACGAGAGCGCCAAGTGGGCAGACTGGCGAGATGACATGGCCGATGGCGTCGTTTTCCTGGGCCATAGGCAGGAGGATACCATGCAAGAATATCGTTCAGCAGCACCTGCACGGGAACACACACATGCCTCCTCACATTCTTCTTCGTCAACGTCACCTTTCCCGACTCCTCCGGAAACCTCGCCAGAAGACGAAGAGCCGCCAACAACATGGCCGCTGGAAAGCAGACACATTCTCATCCGCACGCGAAATGGTCAACCGCCTAAAACACTTCCGAGCCGCATACAGTCAGTAGCTAGAGAACATAGCTTCGAGCGCGTGTGGAATCTAGCGGCGGTGGAAAATGTGTACGATTTGGGTTTCTGGGATAACATCGTGGAAGTCCTTTCGAACTAGTATACAGTTGTAACAAATTTTGTACTCTTATGCTAAACGAGTGCCCAACACGTACCGTATCCTGTTCAAGGATGCGGCTCGCGATTGTAAGCGACTTTTCGTGTCTCCCATTGTCTTCTTCTAGATGCCGACCCCGTCCAAGGACCGCATAGGCGAAAGGGCTAAAAAGTCTTATCTTTGTAATCCTCGCATCAGTATCAATATCGCAGAGACGTGTTTTTTTCTCGTAGATTTCATCAGGCCGCTCCTTCCGCTCCTTCACCTCCTTCAACGAGTATTCACGCCTGGCCTTGGCATGACTGCCTTCGCTAATACTAGCGCAGGTTGAGCTGTATATCTCATCGCAACTTCCCCGTCCTCTCCAGCTCCCCGCCTTTTCACACAAAACGTAAGTAACCCCCACATTCCGTTTTCGCAGACGTGCGCTGACCTGTATAGTGGAATGGCCGGTCGCGGAAACTTCGGTTTCCAAAACAACTATCCCAACTGGGGCCACAATAGCCCTTACCAAAACAATCCGAACCAATATGCCAATCCGAACCAATTCGCCAACAATTCGCAACGTGGCGGGGCTTATTCTAGCTCTCATCAACCCGGCAATAATACGCGATACGGAGCGTACAATGCGCAGGACTCAATAGGAACGGAGTCGCGAAAGAAGAGGAAATGTCAGTCAGCTCGTTCTTTCAATAAAACGGAATACTAATTCAGATAGTTTACACTCCCAATGCACCCAACAAGATTGACTACGATATGGCTATGGCCCTCGCGCGCGACTATCGTAACACAACTTTTGAGATAATAAGAAATGGTGAAGAACTTATTCCTTTGCATTCTTTGCAAGTCGATAAAGTCAACGAATTCGAGGATTCGCACAACATCTATATGGAAGCCGAGCGAAAGGTGAACGAGTACCTTGCACAACAAGCCAGCGGACCTGTTTCGAATACGACTACTGGCACTCCCCTCGATACGCCGGAACTCCGAACCCTGATCACCTCGATAGTGCGTGAGCAGATTGCAGAGATCTTACAGCAAGCGTCAGCTTCCATTTTGATCGGCAATCGTGCGAACATGCCTGCGGATGAGCACAATCAGACTTCGCCTCTGCAGCAGAGCAGTGCGCAACCTGGCCAGACCTCGACAAATGTTCCATCCAATAGCCAATTCATCAAGCCGGAACCTTGATCCGTCCCTCGTCGATCCGCCCTCCCGAGATGTTCGATTGAAGTCGCAGTATGAAGTTGCTAGGCTGCCAGCCGGCACCTATAGGACGGCTCCATCGACCGAAGACTCCAAGCTTTAGCACAGAATATGTCGAATCCGACAATTCGACTTCACTTCGACGCCTTCGAACGCACAGATAGTTCGGCGAAGACATTTGACCCTACGAAGGAGTTGGGCAATGAATCCTTCGATAGTCTGAATGGCGCTGCTGCTCGGAGCTAAAGCTCGCGTCAGCATCAATAAGCGAGGTTCTGCCGCTGGTAGCGGTGTATACATTGCCTGATACTGGTCTCGGACCAGTCACAATACTAGATTCGTCTAGTCTATCATACCAGCTCTGCTGGTCACCATACTGGCTCTGCTGGTCTATGATACTGCATTCGTGTGGTCTAATTATATCGCTGCTGCGATAACCCATATCAGCTGCGCGCTGATCTTTGATACTACTGGTGTATGCCGGTTTCATGTACTCATAGCTCGTCTTTAAACAATCTCGATACAATCTGTACCCATGCGCCTTCTCCCGTGATGTAAATGCCAAAAAAAAAACTAGCCATGTGTTGGAGAATATCGTTGGGCAGCACTAGCACTCCAAAAGCAAGAGCGAAAGAGAACAACGTGATAATCGCCTCGACATCACGACAATTGCCAACACAACTACGACTGGGATGGATCTAAAGCCAGGCACTTCCAATGGAAGTATGTGTAATTCAATTGTAAAGAGCTACCTGATGGCCAGATACCTTCCGCCTGATGTCCAGCAGGTCCTTGAGGTATCCGTGTCGATGTTGTGGTATGAAAAGAGTTCGCAATAACAGAAGAAATGAAATCTGCCCGATCGTCCTCTCTGCCTTTCCTCGATCAAACACGACGGCTTGAGCCTCGGTATCTGCCACGAGCCTCCACCGTCTCTGCAGTGACATCTCATTGGTTGTTCCCGTTGCCCGGACGGACGCCTCGTGGGTTAGCACCACTGCCGCGAATGCCTCTTGGAACACGGGTCCCTCCGAATGGACGAACAATTCCTGGGATGGCATCTCGTCGGCCGCAAGTTATGCCCGTGCCGATCCTCCCAGGCTGGGCAGCACCATCCCGACGGCAGCCACCTAGTGCAACTCTGAGGGGAGCGGCATCCCGAGGGTAGCCGCTGTGACCTGGGGTAAGGCCCCTCTTAGGAGAACCTCCAGGGTGTCTTATAAGGCCACGCTTCCTTCCGCCCCAACGTGAGCCACGATCTCGCTCGGCCAAGTCGTCTGCCGGCTCCGCGGCGCGCTTACCTCCCCATGAGACGTTGTGACCTCGTTCGGTTAGGACCTCGTTCGATATAGCGAGGCTGTCGGTGTCCGAATCACCTGCTGGGAATCCGGTAGCTCGTTTCATGGGCTCCGCTTCTCGTCGATGGCCGCCAGGGCTGTTGAACTTGAGCCCCTGTGCATCCCGACGTCTTCTTGACGAGCCACCTTTTGGAAACCCGATAACCCGCTTGACGGTCTCCGCGACGGCATTCCGTGGAAAGTTACCTGCTTTACTCCCGAATCTCCCGGGTGCTTCGAGGACTTCAGCCTCAGCCTCAGCTTCGGCCTCTCGTTTCCCTCGTCCGGTGCTGGTATTGACCCTGCCCCGAGCTTCAATAGGCCTCTCTTCGGCCTGGCTGCGTGCTTCCAAGGGCTCGATGAGAGTCACGGGGATTGCATCTTGTTGATGGCTTGCGCTAACAGACGAGATATCATGAAGGGATGTCTATACCCAATTAGCGAAGACCTGGGGATATGAATATGAGATGAATCACCTTGGCGTCGAGGACAGGTGCTCCGAGGACAGCAAGAGAGAAGGAAAGCAACGCGGTGACTGTGTGCACGCGCATGATAGTATGAGTCGAAAGGAAGAGTATTGATCTACGGGAATTGAAGGTCCGTGCAGATCGGTTGCGGTTCAGTTGATGGAGCTATCGTCTACAGCGAAAGGGAATCGCCTGGTACTTTATCCATAGATCAGGCTCACCAAGTACGAGCATATCTAGGATATCGCACGCCGTACTCATTTCCGCTACGCATGTAGTGGCGCTTCGATCGGTGACTACGCCTCACCCTGATGAACACCTTGGAAACTACTGATGCCAGGTCGATTGCATTGTCTAGGCACGCAGGATGATTGTGTTGTGGTCATCCGTATAACGATTGGAAGACAGCCAAGAGAGCATAACGATCGCGGCACAACTCAGGCAGGCTGAAACCCAGTCACGTGAGCCTGAGACCGAAAACGCGTCGCAGTGTAACATGCTGCTCCTCACAACTTCTGTCACACCACATAATCACATTCCGAGCTCCCCGAGGGCTTTTCAAAAGACGATTGTGTAGATTTGGTGTCCATGCGTATCATATAGTCCAGAAGCCTACATCTAGGCATTGCTATCGAGTGTCTACACTTTTGTGCATTGCGCTGTTGCAGGCTCCAAAGTCAACTTCCACTTGCTTGTATGCTTCTTTCCACAGCTTAAGGCAGTGTATGTCAAATCCATCCACGTGGTGTTTGAACAGCAGGATGCGGTATTTGTGGCGACGCACTGAGATGGCTTTGACCAGACACCCTCCAACCCGACTTCGGCAGCAGCCTGATGCGAACCTTCTTCGTATCCCTCGCAGTGTGCCAAGTTGATGGTTCCTGGAATTGACCCTGAGTCTCCTTGGGCAGACTATAGATGAGAGTCGGCATGACCGATGTCTTCCAAACACCCGTTCCTGTGTCTCTTGCGGTTTTGATGATCGTCGAGACCAGAAAGACCAGAGACAGGAGTAGTAACAGGAGTGGGAAACTGAGCCACTCCCACTGTATAGCAATGATGCTTTGTGGAGATAGAGCATCGCCCGAAATCATCTCAACGCTGACAGATGATCGGATGACATTGGTCATGGCGGTTGCCAATCTCTCCATGTGGTGAGTGACGTTGTTGGGAAACAGAAGTGGATTAAATGCCAGCTTGCGTAATGAGGGTCCATCGGGATAGTTTTTGTATCGTAGGGCTGGCTTCTGTCCCTTGATAGCGGTGTAGTACGAAGGAAAGAAATCGTCGAATCCTATCATGATATTCGACGCGGTCGTATTAGACATGCTAAAACTTTCGTATTGCGCAGTTGAGTTGGTACGGGTGGCAAGAGGCGGAGTGATCGTGACGTCTTCATCAAAGATGGTCATGGTGCCATTTTCACTCTCCAACTCCACCGGATAACTCTGCCATGGCCACGGCCACGGGTGATCTGTCGTGTTCAGGTAGACGGCCGATATCGTCTCACTATATTGACCCCACGCATAAGCTGATGCTACCGTCTTGACGCACCAAGCCAAAACGCATTCATGAGCAACAGGAGTCTCGTTCCGATACACACTATCACGGCCGTCGGGCGCCGAGACAATGAGTGTATCTAGGATTGGATTACGAAGATGCCTGAAGTTGATCGAGCCGCCAAAGACCGGCGCCTTCGTCTGCATATCAGTCAATGGCATCACCCGTACGAGCAGAGCTTCATCTGTTGGCTTTTCATCCCCACCACCGACAACGTACCCCGACATCAGTACAGGCGACCTACTTGTTGAGTTCAAAAAGTAGCCACAGACTGTACTTTTGGCGTATGAATCGTCATCGATGGGGCGAACATGTGTGGCGGTCCAGTCGACTTTCGTCTCTAAGCACGCGAATTGCAGTAAATTTGTCGCTTGTACACATTCGCTGCATACGCCTAAAGTTTCGTATGGAGGCCAGTCACAGATGCTAGTAGGACAAGAGAGCGGTATGTCGGGGCGTGTAGTATTGGCAAAAGGCGTAGGGTGGGTGCCATTCCCTGCGAAGTACCGGCCAAAGAGGTCTCTGAAAGCGGGGTCCACGAAATTAGTCTCGAGTCCTTGGAAGGTTTCCGGTGCGTAGAGCGGCTCGTACTGCACTACCCTTGGTATCGAGCCGGCGTTAGACTGTGTCATCCACTCGTCTGGAAAGCTGACAACTTGCTGAAAGAAAGTGTCGATCGCAAGAAGTAGTACAATTAAGAGCGCGCCGAGCGCCGCTAAAGAACGGCCCTTTGTCCGGAATAGTAACATTAGGGCACCTAAAGGTCCCCTGGAAGCTTTGTCGAATATCTCGAAATCCCACATAGCATTGGATTTATGGAACCAATGCCATTTCAGTTGGCCGAGCGCCTCTGATGTTGGAACGATCAAGGCAGCCGAAGAGACTTTCGCTAAGACATTCGTCCAGGTAAGATAGGATCCGTCCAGCGACATGGGTTGGCCGTTGATTCGAAGGTAGATGCAGATGATCGCTATCATGCACGATGCACTGAGCAACCAACTCATCATCTCGAATAGCCATCTCTTGAAGACGTTGTCCGACGAGTTGTACTCCGCTAACTTTCTCTCGATTCTTTGCGTGAAGTCGAGCGCTAATTTCTCGTCTTGTGAAGAGTCTAGCGACCCTGGCGCATGTCGTAATCCATGTCCGCGTTTTCGTGTCCACGAAGGTTGGCGTTGTGTCGCGTTTGTGATGGAAGCCATCTCGGTGGGATTCGCATCGATAGGGATATGACCGTGAATGATACGAATCGTGAAGGTGGGTTGTGCCGCGATAAGGACGGTCGTTCGATCGGTGCTCGAGAGCAAGATGACAGCGCACCGGCGCCTAACAAGCTAAACATCTTGAACTGCCGGCTGCGAGTATGCCTTCAGTCATGGTAGAGTCGTGGCGCTAAGCTGCGCATCTTGATCTTCGACGTTGAGCGTGCGCTTCGTTATCGTGCGCCTATGAGAGCTTTGCTGTTAGCGCTGCGGCATACCAACTGGCTGGCAGCTACCGAGCGCCGGGACCGACATGGCCATATCGCGCAGGCAAGTATAGCGACTTCAGATGCTGTAAAGATCAAGGATTTCCTGGTGACCGAAGACGGAGGATAGCTCTGGGTGATGAAGCTGGGACG